ATGTATATAACATCATATTGAACCAACAACATTAAAAAGTCATGTTTCTAAAAAATAAAGTCATGATTCGCCAAAATAACTTCATGCATTTGCATCATTTTTATAAGTCAAGTAAAAATTTTCTTTCAAGAGCTGGGTCTGTTTTTCCTGATTTGGCAGCTTCAGGACCTGTGGCTGAAGTTCGACATTTCGTGTCCTGTAAATGTGTACAAGGCAAATATTATTCATACAGTATACTTCATGAAACTATCCAATGATTAGATTATATGAAGTGTACATGAATAAAAAATATCAAATAACAAAATGTTGATAAATGGAACAATAATTAGAAGAATGGAAAATATTTTCTAATTAAATGATTACAAAATGGAACAATGAAGAGAGTCACACATGATAGACCACTAAACTGGTTCGGAGCTCTGTTCTAAAAATCGTTCTAGGCGTCCGACTAGTCCCCGCCTAGGCACTAGGCGGTGGTCGGGCGCCCCGATTTTCGTCTAGACGCTCCGACTAATTGATTTGCCATCTAGGTGAATTAGTCGGCCGCCTATGGCGCCTATTTGCCTGCCTAGAGCGCCTAATCGGCCGACTAGGACGTCTAGATTCGCCAAACATTTTTTACTTTTTAATTTTAATTTTCTAAACGATACACGTACTTTAGCTTTAGCCATAGATATAATGAAATGAAGTTGTAAATTAAGATATGTTTCTATATATGCCTAAATTTCATCATTATTTATATTTATAACATAATGACGTTAAGTGATTAGTTATCATACACTACGTATGATTAAATGTGATAATTCTATCATTCATGTTTGTTAATGTATATGTATATATGTAGTTTATACACAGAAAAATACCATATTACTTATCATATATATGCAAAAATATAGATAAAAATGTAATTTCTTTGTCTCCGACTAGTCCCCCGACTAAGTGTCTGCCTAGCCGCCTAGGCGCTAGGCGCTGGGCTGGCGTCCGACTAGCGCCTAGCGCCTTTTAGAACATTGGTTCGGAGTAGTTTACAAATACATATGTTTGATTTGTATAGAGTTTTTAAGAAGTAGATGTTGAAAAAAGAAAAAACAAAGAAAATGGAACAGTGAAGGATACGAAAACTTATTGTCATTGATTGTGTTGCCTGCCAGCTTCTGCGGTTGTTGTGGAGATAGCAAAGACTGATCGAGGTAATGTAAGTAGAGCAGAGCAGGAGAGTTGACGACTTGAGTAGCAAACACCAAAACTGTGGCTTGTGTTGATTAACGCAAATTTACATCGTTTTGACCTTTTTTTAGATACTTAATTGGGCTTTATCATATTAAAGATATGGGCTTCTGATTTAAAAAAGTATGAAACTAACATATTAGGCTTAAACGTGTGTTTCCACCCCAGGCGAGTTTAGCGAGCACTTTTTAGTGCTTCAACGCTCCTGCGCTTCTGCGCATAACCTGCGCCTTACACTGATAGCTGCGCCTGGCCTTTGTTAAGTCGATAGGGCTGATGTGCGCTGCGCCTGGGGCGCTTAAGCGCCCAGGCGCTCACTTTTGACTACCTTGCCTAGGAGATATGGAAGTCAACTTCCAGAAACAGACTTTAAAATGGAGACAACAAGAGCAGAATTAGGATGTTTTTACTTGGACTGTAATTTGCTGGTCTGGTCTGGTCTGGTCTAATCTGGTCTGGTCTGGTCTGGTCTGAACTAGTCTGGTCTGGTAAGGTCTGGTTTCTTTGTATTTTTATAACTATCCAAGTCTGGTCTGGTCTGGTCTGAACTGGTCTGGTCTGGTCTGGACTGGTCTGGTCTGGTGCAAATTACAGTCCAAGTAAAAACATCCTTATACTATCCAAGGAGATACTACCCTAAATCAGATGGATGTTCCCTTGGAAACTATCACTAACATTTTACAGAATACAAGGGGTGGATACCTGCAATACTGTGAAAGTATAGAGCAAGAACAACAGCACATAACAGCTCAGGATGAGACCGGGAATATGGTGGTGGGAGAATTTTCTGAAGTCTGTAAATCAACTCGAGGTCTGCTTCATGAAGGAACCTGTGATCACCCAAGAAATATCTTACAGAGAACCAACCTACCCAACATCAGACTATACAGTCCCAAGAAAGACTTGACAGAGGTTACGAATTCAAGGAGTGAAGCCACTGAAACCCAAGGGCTGGAGTTATTTCCTGAGGCAAGAGATCTTAGCAAATGGAAGATTGAGCAATTGGTGATTAGTAAAGCCCAGTTTCTGCTTGATCAAAGCCACCCAAGTGGTAATCATGCTGTGAAATGTATGTGGAAGAAGATGAAAGCAGCAAAACTAAAAGTCCAGCAATCACTCCAGTATTGGAAAGGGAGAGGTGCTAGGATGAAAGAAAAGAAGAAGATTGTGGCTGTGTCCTATAACCCACCTTGAGGGCAAGGTGGATGTTTAGGGGGGAAGTATTGATAGGGACCGGGCCTATTAGAGTATTAATAATAATAAGGGACCGGGCCTATTAGAGTATTAATAATAATAAGTGTATAAGCTTAGTATAAATAGAAGATAGCTTGGAAGAGTAGATAGGCCGTTTTAGACTTTGACTTTGGGACATGGGAAGATCGAGAGCTATCTCTTTCTTTGGGGGGCTTCGGCTCAATTCGGGGGCTTCGGCCTTTACTTCTTCTTACGATTACAGTTCTGGTTCCTTCTTCAATAAAATCTACAGTTGTGTTCTTGATAATTTTCTTTAATCCTTCTGAAAACCTAGATAACTCTATCATGTTGGCTAAGCCTATTTGGATAGTAAGATGTAGCCTTTGTTATGTGAGAGAAAATGAATACTTATAAAAAACTGTTAAAGCTATTCAGATTTAGTATGACTTAACAGTAAAAACGATACATATGTCCCGGAACAGTGGTGCCATTTGTATTTCTGAATTGAAATACGTAAGAAATAATCACTTAACTGCAATCACCTTCTTTCTGGTATTGGTGTCATTTACAAGATTTTAGACATAATCTTTTGAGTGAAATTTTATCAATTAAAAAACATTGATTGATGATGTGTTGGGATCTTCTTATAATTATTTGCAGAAAATTCATCAAGATTGCTAGCTCAAGAGATCTACAAAGTAAGTGAGATTCATAGCTAAGAATCGTCATTTGATGTATATATATTTGTACTATTGTGTAATGCTACCAAAAAGTTGTGATTTGTTAAGGTTGAAATGCCTTGATACAAATGAGATGGTTTTGATTTTTTTTGGGGATAAGGGTCACATAGGGCCTCGAACTTGAAAAAAAATGTCAAATAAGGCCATATTTAGGATACTCTGTCCGGCCGACGCCATTTGGGGTGGTTTCTGGTGGAATTTTTTGATGAATTTTTTTTAGAATCTTATTCATGAAGTCTAGTTACTCATATCAAATTTGAACTAAAACTTTAATTGGGAAGACATTCAAATGAATTTTTGAAGATAACTGTGCAGTTAAAAGCACATTGTAATCCTAATCAGAATGATAAGGTTTTAGGACATCTATATCTAAATAAAACACGAGATATTACCCGAAATAGGACTAAAAAGTTTGATAATTCCAAAATAGGACTGCCATGTTTTTATTCCCAAAATAGGACTAATTACTGTCATGTTTTGGCAGTACCAGACTTCAAACATGGCAGTATTTTCCAAACTTGACAGTAATTACTCCTATTTTGGGAATAAAAAACATGACGGTCCTATTTTGGAATTATCAAACTGTTTTAGTCCTATTTCGGGAACTTTCCAACACACATAACCAAATAAGATTCTAGCAAATATGAGTGTCATAATTATCGACCTTCTCAGAAACACTCAACACATGAGCTAATCAGTTTAAGTTTTAAGTTTTCTAAAACAGGTGTGCACAGTATGGTTAGACAGTTTCAACAAAAAAATAGGACATCAATTCTGCTCTTCAAATCATGGTGTCTTATTCCGGCTCGATCTTGATTTTTATCTTCAACGTTCTGTTGGCAAAAAACTGATCCAGTAGGTTCCTCTAAATCGTGTCACTCCCTTCTATAGGATTGCGCAAAGCTAAAAACAAAACATTTATATTTTTATGTATAAGGTTTATATCAATCATCTAATTCAATTGTAATGGGGTCTCTTATAACATTATGACATTATGTAATTATGAGAACATTAATAATGGGTTTCAAATATTTATAGAGCAGTTGTTTGATAGTAGTTAGAAAGTACAAAACTAATCATATTAGGAATTTGATATATTTCAAAGATTGTTACATTATTTTTTAGAAGATGGGAACTCCGGTACCCATTTAAAAAATGGGGTACCATACCTATCATCCATCTGATTGGTCCAAATAAATATATCATTTATAAATTAGACTTAAATAATTCAACTGTAATATTCTGAGTGGTCCACATGTACAAATGTATGGTACCTTGTGGGTACCGTTGAATCTACCTTTTTAGAAACATGTTACACAAAATTTAGGAAATATTAAAACTTAGTTTTATTTTAAAGAAAACTAGGACTTCCATAATTCCGTAAATTAAAAAAAGATAGTTTTATTTCATCCAAAATAAGAAAGATAGTTTTATTTCCTTAAAAAAAAGATGCTTTCCAATCATACGGATGAAGCCTGAAGGTGCGCCTAGCAACTTAACTTGGATTTCCGTATGTGAGTAAGGACATACATGTCCATCTTCGACAGAAAAGAGGTGTGCCCAGCACTCTTGGAGGTACAGTCCGAGCGTTGGGAAAAACACTCTAATCTTACTCTATATAAAAAGAGGTGGAAAACCAGCTCATTTTCCCGCCTAAAGATACGGGTAAAAAATGGGTTTGGGTCTGTTGAACACTTTAATCCTCATGTGGGCCAATGCAGTTAATTGTCGATACCATAGGTGGCATATACGAAGCATTTGTCTATTCCTACTGGTCTATATTGCGTGTGATTTCCGCCAGATACTTTGTATCTCACATGATCTCTTCTTGATTAATGTAAAAGGTGTCAGAGACTCAGAGTCATGGTAATTGTCTATCGGTTTTATGTTTTCCATTGTCCAAACAATACGTACGTAGTAGTATATAGCCAACTATGTAACACCTCTTTATCAAATCGATGACAAAATCATCAGTGACATATACTCCGTATATCTCTTGCAAGCAGTGGAATCACAATCTGATAGCCATGGCAGTCCATCGGAGAACTCGACGGCAAGAGTATCGCATTCGGATTTCAGGTTGTAATTTGGCGTGGGGAGGCAGAACATCGGACAACTCGACAGCAAGAGTATCGCATCCGCTGCACTGCTGCAGCAACATCAATGGAGGGCCATCAGCCCCCGGTCGACCTCTGACCCAGCAAGACGGTGGCGGCCGCGCTGGCCGATTGAGAGAGATCTTGACCAGGTGTCTCACCAACGAGTGTTCTGATCCTGGATTTTGTTACAGTATGTACCTTTGTTGGATTTTGTTCAGTAACTAGGACACCTGTTAATGCAGCCGATGGTGTGTGACTTGAGAGTTTCAACTTTATGGTGAATGCAAATGCGTATGGTTTTAAACTCACAGATAGATCGGTTGCAACTTGCAAGGAACATAGGATTGGGTTTATTAGCTGCTCTGCAATGAGAGAAAGGTCCAACATTTGACCGAATTGTTTTAAATGCTGGAAGGTTGACCGTGGACGTGAAGTAGCCGAGTTGTTTCTGTTGCCCTTGGCCGTGCTAGAGAGGGCATAAACATTGGTAATGCCTTAGAGAGACACTTGCAGAGTTGCAGTATGTATAAATGTCTAATTTGGTGTGATAAAGGTTGACTTCGTTATAAATACTTACTCCCTCCGTAACATAAAGATCTTCCCATTTTGACTTTTCACGGTCTTCTAAGTTGAACTTTGACTGCAAATATCTACATATCTATATTTATAAAATTCATAATAAATTAACATTCAAATAATACGTTTTACAATGAGTTATATAAAATAAATTTTTAATCCTAACATAATGTGAGTTTTGAATAATTAATGGTCAAAGTTCATGAAGTTTGACCCAAAAGAGTCAAACTGGGAAGATTCTAGCGTTACGGAGGTAGTATATCTTTCTTTTTTGTTCCTGTAGTAGATAAGTTATGTAAACCAAGTGTCAAAGATTATGTAATTATGATATAATAATTAGAGTTACAGATTATATATATATATATATATATATATAATATATGTGTGTGTATATATTTACAAACAAATACTCCGTAGTATTATTTGTGAAAAAACTCTATGTCAATGAAATGCAAAATGCCTGTTATGTACTTTAGAAAAGAAATTGTAATTTGAGCTATGGCATGGGAGCTTGAGTTATGTTTGTTGCACTTCTCATTTTTGTTGTCTAAAACACCGTAACTTGAACTGTTTGTAATTTTTTTTATGTGATATACTCCCTCCGTCCCAAAAACGTTTGTAAACTTTGACTTTCACGTGTATTTAATACAGTAAAAACTGTGTGGTTGAAATTTGTACAGAGGAGAGAAAATTAACTTTAATCACATATTTTTACTTTAGATGGAAATGATAAATCTTTTTGGGACGGATTGAGTATATTTTTGAAGCTTTACTTAATCATGACAATTGGGATCGTGTGTTTCATGAATTTTTAATTCATATGTCAACACCAATGCACAACGGGTCTTTTGAAATCTGTGTCAAATGAATCTGAATTCTCTATCTTCAATAACCATAATGACAGTCATGGAAAATAAAAAATGCACTGATAAGGCTATAACCATGATACAAAACAGTCAACTATTTGTAAAATAAAAAATACTCCGTAGATGTCTATTTGTGAATAAATAAAATGTTAAAAACCAAATTTTAAACTTTAGGTAAATATAATTCTAAATAAAATAATTTTGACTAGCTAATGGTATACTACCGAAAGCGATCTAAAAGTGTACAATAATAATGTTAAAATCATTAAAACACAAGGACATAGATTACAATTTAGGGGACATGGTCCGGCGGTCTGAAACCTAATCTGTCTTTGTATGGGATCGGACCGAATCTGGAGTTTCCGATTTTAGGCCTGGGACTGGTCTGTTCGTTCAATACGGGTACCGGTCCTGATTCAGACTAATGTAAGCACATTTTAAAATTATGTATGTATTTATTCTACTTTTGAAACATTGCCCATACCAGTTTCACCGAACTATTCCTAATTCTAACTTCCTTTCATAAATTTTTATTACATATTACATTTATTATTCTTTAATACGTTTATATAATACATATAAAATTCTTTCACTAATAATATTAACAAATAAAAAATAATAAAATATAATTGATGCTTAATTCTGATCCGTGCATCGCACGGGTGAAAATCTAGTAAGACTAAAACATAACCTTTATACTTAAATAGGACGGGACTACTTTTATATCCCTAAATAGGAGTAAAATTGATTGATGGGACAAAAGTACCCTTCATTAATTCGGAGCCGCAAACAGATTTATAACAGGGTTATCGTTCATGCCAAGCGGATAATGACTATGGATAAGAGTTATCGTTCTTGTCGATCGGAGCTCAGAATCACTGCTGGTCCGCCGCTGATTGCCGCCCGAGAGCTCGCCGGTTAGAGTCATCACCGGAGTGGTCGCCGATGGCATGGCCGGGACTCCGGATAGGCTCCTCCTTATCCCCCCCCCCCCTCTTCCAAGCTGTTAGGAAATTCTTCTATGCCCCATACATCTGCCGAAGTGTAGATCTTGCACAAGTGTAGATCTGCTATTAGTTTTTTTGTGGGTTGTTCTTCTTCCCATGTTCTTCCGTATCTTTTTTGTTGTTGTTGTTTTACTTTTCATTATTTTGTTTAAATTTATTTTGTAGATTAGATTCAGGATTCATTATTTATTTTGTCAAATATTTTTGCAGTTGATAATAGATTACTAAATATTAATAATCTCTTCCCTTAAAGCAACGAATTGCTTTGATCCGCTTGGTAGGAGCTTTTCCCTGAAGCACACGGACACACGGTCTCTATACGATTTGGAAGAAATAATGATTTAGTTTGGAGTAATGGAATTATTATGGGAACCGGCTGCTTTAACGGAACATATTGAAACCTATTAATTGGATTATAATAACATTGTTTTAAACAATGCCATCCTATTCCATGCCATTTAATGAAAGTGGTTTTTATACAATGACACTATATTACATTGTCATATAATAACATTGACTTTCAAATAATGATATTATACTGCAATACTGCATTATCAAATAATGATATTAACTTTTAAACAATGACATTATGTTATGTTGTCATATAGAGGCAATAATGAGTCAATGACATTTTTGGAAAGTATTTCATTATTCATTTTGACAAAGCTATTCTTTAATACTAAGTAGTATTTCATTTATTGTGACATTTTTAGCAATTTAATGTCTTTATATGTTGTATATGATATTGTAATGTAATGTCATTGTTTAAATAGAGTGATAATGTTATGAAAATGTCACATTTTTAAATAATTTTGTTACGGGTGAATAATTATGTCAAAATGTAGAAATAAAAAATAATACAATGTCCAACCTTATGATTATAAAGTATAAACATGATAACTAACAAAAATTATCACAATATTGTAAATATTGTTACAGTGTAGGAAAATTGTCACAAACTGTGACAATGACAATGTCATAAAAATGACATTGTAATAATGTCAATGACAATATGATACCAATGTCAATCATTATAAGAATGACATATTGACATTGTTAGAAACAAGTGATATTAATAAGTGACATTATATAGTTAGTAAGGGACATTGTTAGTAAGTGACAATATGACATTGTTAAGAAATGTCATTGTATAATAACAATATGACATTGTTGAGAAGTGTCATTGTCTAATACCAATATGACATTGTTAAAAAGTGTCATTGTTTTTTATGATGTCATTGCGATATTATGACATTATGTAAGAACATTATGACATTGTGATACTGAAATTGTACAATTGTCAAGAAATAACGTTGTGTTCATTGATAATATTGTGATATTATGACATTATGTAATAATATTATGAAAATGACAGTGTAACATTGTTAAGACGTGAATGTGTTTTCGTTGATGACATTATGTGTTACATTGTAATGTTAATATTGTAACATTCAAATAGTAACATTGTTTTTTAAAATGTTGTCATAATTCTCCATAAGGAATAATATGTCCATGTTAAAAAAGTATTAAAAAAAAGTATATATTGCACTATAAAAGTTAAAACAAAAGATGGGAGTTTGCAAGTTTTTAGAGTAACACTGGGTTTCAAATTCTTCAAATTAGAAAGAGGAAACAAAAAACAATTCCTTTCAAAAAAATCAGCCTCCCCCAATTCGAAAAAACACTCTCTGTCAATGAAGAATGTTATCCCGTAGACTCCTCCAAGACTCCACAACACCTTAGCTAGGGAACAACATTCCCACCTGAACGGATAAATTTTCATCCGTGCATCGCACGGGTGAGAATCTAGTAAGCAATAAAATAGTAAAATTCTTTTTTAAATATAGTAGTAATACAGATGAATTGAAACTGAACGGAGAAGATACTGGATACTCCCATGGCATAGAGACAAGCTTTAAAACTGAACCCCAAATCCCCCGACTTCTCAGACCAATGAGAGTGCGAGACTCAAAGTCGGAAGAGGCAGCATGGGTAGGGCTGCACATCGGGCGGGTTGGGTCGGGTTTGCTATATTTTTTGGACCTATCCAATTTATTCGGGTTGACTATTTACCAACCCGCGGTATGAAATATAAGTTGGTAAACCATGCATGAACGGGTCGGGTAGGGTCGGGTATTGAAATGAATTTATTTCGGGTTGAATCTTTAATATGGACAACTAGTTTATAAGAGTAAACCATGCATGCAATATGAATCGCGGTTAACTTGTTTCCAAAATACACAAACAAATACAAGTACTTTTTATAAGAGTAAACTTAGGAAAATAGTGTCAAAACATTCTTACTTAAAGGAAATTAGTCTAGAATCAAATGTATATATATACTAATCACCTAGTCAAAATGGTAAATGTTTATAATGCTAAAATCATAGTCTTAGATAGAGCACAGCGGTCTTCAATAGAAATTATCCAACTAAACTTTGTAGCATAATAATAATAAATTGAACTTTCGGTCGGGTCGGGTACTATCGGGTTTGAAATTTAATTCCGCAACCCTACCCATTACGCGCGGGTTCGTATATATTTAACCCGTGAATATTTTTAAAAATCAAATACCCGACTAAAAGTGATCGGGTAGGGTTGGGTCGGGCGGGTTATGCGGGTTCGGGTTATTCTTGTGTAGCCCTAAGCATGGGACGACTGAAGATTCTGATTTCCGAGCTTAGTTGCTTCCTATGATATTCTTCTCGAGCCCCAACCCTCCTGGTACGAGTCTTTGCTTAATTTCTTCAGATTTTCTTTCTGCAATTGGGAGTTCTATCACTGTCCATTGCTGCCTTATTGATGCCGCTGGACAGATTTTAGTTTTTCTATTGACACATTATATGCATTATTTTTAATAACTTAAGAATAAATGTTTTAATGTTATTATTATTTATCTGGCATTTATGTTTTGTACTAATATTTTATAACTGTCATTGTATTAGTCATTTAGTATTTTGATGGTTATTATTGTATTATTTATTAAGGACTGTTATCTATATATCTGCCAAACATATGGGTGTATTTTCATGACCGGTAACTAGAAATTTGACTTCACATGTATCAAGAATTAAAGAGAGAACAATTTGAGAAGAGATTTTGTTACTAAATCGTTTGTTGACTTTGTGGATTGATATTCTTTTATTAGAAATGTATGTAATTGACATTTCAGTAACTGTGTGAACTGGTATGCGAAAAAGAATAGAGTATTACGAAATAAAAAGTATACGTTTTGGTGCATTTTGCACATTTTACTCCTAAACAGTATATGATGGGTACTTTGGATATGCTTTGTTTTATATATGGTGTATTATTCATTTGAACATATGAAATCTTGATATGGTGCTAATCGACTCAGAGGTAGTATAATACTACTCTTTTTACCATAAATGATTAACCTTTGTTATTTTTAATAACTTATTTAATTTTGCAGGGTGACGAAATTCATGTTGTAGTAAAAAGGCCACAGTTGGTCTTGATGATCTTACAGACATTGAAAAGCTAAATGAAACGGGTTTAAGTCTATTAATAGTAATACTACTAACAAATAAATATTATTAATTCATCATATAAAATACATTTGTAGAGTGGCTCAAGTGCAAACAACTTGGACTGCAGCACCATGCATCCATACAAAAATGGTT